GACTATCCCAGATCTGGACAGACCTTGGACATGCAAGTTCTCTTCATGAATCTACAATCTTTTTTTTTTTCTCAAAGGAGACATTTAGAAAAGTTGCATAGAAAGTCACCTATTCTGGGTGCCTGGGTGGCTCAGTTGGTTGGGCGACTGCCTTCGGCTCAGGTCATGGTCCCAGAGTCCTGGGATCGAGTCCCGCATCGGGCTCCCTGCTCAGCGGGGAGTCTGCTTCTCCCTCTGCCCCTCTTCCCTCTCGTGCTCTCTATCTCTCATTCTCTCTCTCAAATAAATAAGTAAAATCTTAAAAAAAAAAAAGTCACCTATTCTGTTCTTGAAATTTAACAGAATATAACCAAAGATAAAAATTTTTGTTTGTGTTTTGTGTTTGGTTTTTACTTTTGTTTTTGTGTGGGCAATTAGAATGAAATCTGGGCAGTTCACCCCAGAAGGGAGAGAACTTTGCTACCCGAAGACTCCTACTTCTAGGGAAATAGGAAAAGGAGTAGGACCCCAGAAGAATGAGGTTGTGCTATGTGGTGTAGCAGGTGGAGAAGATGCAGAAGAAGCCTTCTTAGCCAGATTCACTTTCCACCACTTGGATAGACTACTCCTTTTTTCTTCTTTTTTTAAAGATTTATTTATTTATTTGAGAGAGTGAGAATGAGAGAGAGAGAGAGAGAGCACGTGAGAGGGGGGAGGGTTAGAGAGAGAAGCAGACTCCCCGCCGAGCAGGGAGCCCGATGCGGGACTCGATCCTGGCACTCCAGGATCATGACCCGAGCCGAAGGCAGTTGCCCAACCAACCGAGCCACCCAGGTGCCCTTAGACTACTCCTTTTTTTAAAAATTGGGAAACTAAGGTAAAGGGATCCCAAGAGACTCTTTCAGGGTCATGTAGGAAGCAGCAGAGCCTTGGATTTTTTTTTTTTTTAAGATTTATTTATGTATTTTACAGAGAGAACACAAGTGGAAGGGGCAGAGGGAGAGAGAATCACAAGCAGACTCCACACTGAGCGTGGAGCCCGATGTCGGGCTTGATCTCACGACCCTGAGATCATGACCTGAGCCGAAACCAAGAGTCTGTTGCTTAACCAACTGGACGACCCAGGCACCGCCCCCAGCAGAGCCTTGTTTAAACCCTGCTCCAAAGCCTCGGTCTTCCCCACTGTGCTCTGTATTTGTCTCTATCATAACCTTTTTATGGGGTTGTATTTGTCTCTAGCATAACCTTTTTGTGGGGTATACCAGCAGGCTGGCACTCTGAAGAGGTAACCATTTGGATGTGGTTTGAAAAAAGAGTCTGAAGGGGCTGCAGTTGGGAATGAAGAGTAGCTGCCCCACCCTGGGGCAGAGTACAGGGCAGAAGAGGCCAGTGCCGCCCATGGTAACAGTGGCCTTGAGGGCTCCTGCCTATCCTTCGGGATCTTTTAGGTGGCAGAATGACCTCTCAAGCACAGCTGTTCTGCTTCACTGAACGTACCTAGGAAGGCAGATGGGGCAATAGTTTCCTAGGTGAGCCAAGTTTGCCATCAGAGAGATGCCTGAAGATGTGTTGAATCATTCTTCGGTGCAAGGCATTGTTCTAAGCTCTTTTTATGTCCCAACCTATTTAAATCTCTTTAGAACCCAGGGCGCCTGGGTGGCTCAGTCAGTTAAGCAACTGCCTTTGGCTCAGGTCATGATCCCAGGGTCCTGGGATGGAGCCCCGCATCGAGCCCCTGCTTTGGGCTCCTTGCTCGGCGGGGAGCTGGCTTCTCCTACTCCCTCTGCCGCTCCCCCTGCTTGTGCATGCACACTCTCTCTCTCTATCAAATACATAAATAAAATCTTAAAATAGATAAATAAATAAATCTCTTTAGAACGCTATGAGGTCAGTCTTCTTAGCACCTCCATTTTCTAGAAAAAGAAGGACACCGAGGCATATAATCCAGTGCCCTGTACTCTAACCCAGACAGTGTATGTAAGGGGCTCCGTGCAGGTTTAAGGATGACCAACATCACTATTTGCCCTCATTTTACATTCCTTTATCTGCAAAGATACAGAAATTCTAGGTGATGGCAAGGACTCCAATACTGCAAAATGTGGGCCTGGAGCATCACGATTGCAATCTAGAACAGAGATCAACAAACTACAGACAGCCCCTGGGCTAAATCTGGCCCATTTCTGTACTGTCCACAAACTAAGAGTGACTTTACATTTTTAAATGGTTGGGGAAAAAAATCAAAAGAAGACGATTTGGTGACATGGAAATTACATGAACTTGAGCTGTCAGTATCCATAAATTAAGATTTAGCAAGACACGGGTAATATTGTTATGGCTACTTTCGTGATGTGGTAACAGCACTCAGTGGTTGCATCAGAGATCAAAAGTCCCACAAGTCTAAAATATTTACTATGTGGCCCTTTATAGAAGAAATGTTGATGCCTGATATAGGATCATGTGGTCAACATAATTGCCTAATACTTTCAGGGGAAAATTGTTGTCATAATTGTGAGTTTATTAAATAACCAAAAGCCTCCCCTTTTATGCAGAAAAAGGTTTATTAAAAAAAGATTCTGAATAAACATATTTCACAAAAGACTTTTTTTTAGATTTTAGTTATTTATTTGAGAGAGAGAGAGAGAGAGAGAGCTCAAGCAGAGGGAGTGACAGAGGGAGAGAGAGAAGCAGACTGCCCACTGAGCAGGGAGCCCAATGTGGGGCCCAATCCCAGGACCCTGGGATCATGACCTGAGGCGAAGGCAGACGCTTAACCCACTGAGCCACCCAGGGGCCCCCACAAATGACTTTTTAAATAGCATCTGCAGCATGTATGCATAAGATACAGAAATACATTTATATTTCTATTCACTAGATGTTAGTACTCTGCTTCTTTTCAAAGAAAGTCTGGTTGACCCAATGTTTGCAGTGATCTTTATAGTTGTCAAACCCTTTCACAGTGACATTAACTTATTTGATAGTTTACAAATACTAGAGGTCCTGATCGACAGTAATAAAATAGTCACCGAGCTATATGAATGCCAGCCATCCTTTTATTGAATGATTGTGCATTGCTCTGCTCCTGGAGTTTTTCTGGACCCTACTTCATCTTCTGTCCGCCACCTCTTGACGAGGGTGCCCGGTTCCCCAGTGCTACATCCCTCTTTTAATCTGTGACTCCTTGTCTGTTCAGTTCCGAGTCAGTTTGTTACGATTGTGTCTAAATGAAGAGTCCAGAGGCTAAGTCTCAAGAGGGATTCAAAGTACATGACCTTTAATGCTTAAAACAAGAATGATAAACTGGCATCTTTAGGGCCAAATGCAGTCTTTGGGGGTGCATATGCATGCAGGCACTTGTGTCTTAGAAATGTGTTAGTGACTTGGTAACATTTAAAGAGTTTGGGATCTTTATATATGTGTGTGTGTGTGTGTGTGTGTGTGTGTGTGTGTGTGTGTGTGTGTGTGTATAATTCAGCTTTCTCACTTCTCTTAAAATATCTGAAGAGTTGGCAGCACTGGTCCTATGACCAGCATGGCATTAATAGCTGGCGCTGAGCTGGAGCTGCTTGCTTTAGGTGGGACCCAGGCTCTTCGCTGCGGTCCCCACCTCCCCTCACCCTCAAGGTGTCCATGACACTTTGGCCAAGTGTTCACTGCCACTCGTGAACTTACTAGTTCTGTCTTTCCCTTCCTCCACCAGCTTCACTTCCTTTTTTCATTTACCGCCCTCTCTACGTTCCAGTGTGTGAGTCCAGTCCACGGGCGTTGTGATCGTTGTTTTGGTTGCTGGGAGATCTTGTTTGCTTTCCGGGTCTCCCGTGCTGCCAAAGTGTTTTGGGTTGTCAGACTGACACCCAATGGTGTACCCTTGGCAGAGGTCAGGGGGCCCATCAAAAAGCATCACCTTGATTCTGTAGCAATAATTAAGCTGGGAGGAGCGATCTGAGGTCAAGGAGAACTATGAGCACTTGGGAAGGAGTCAGGCTTGGATCCCTCCCCTGCCCCTGTGACCACCGCACCAGCATTCGCAGTTAACCTCTCGTGGCCCAGTTGGGGTGGACAAAGAGCTCCTAGAACATTCATGAGAACTATGGGCCTGTGAGGGTAAAAAGATCCCACCGTGTTCTCAGAAAGCCCCAGAGTCTCGCCTTTTGCTTTCATGTTGAGCTGAGGGGATTATGCACAGTTAGCCCCTGTCTGGGTGCTGTCTCCTTGTTGGTGATGTTAAAGATTATCCTGGGACCGAGAGAGGCAGGGAGTGTGATACAAAATGTCCACATGATGACAGTTTTCAGTATGTGAAGCCAACTAGAGTGAACAGAGCAGAAATAATGTACTGGTTGGAAGTTAATAGCTTAGCCCGCCTAGTGATTTGCTAGAAGAAAATGCCTGTTCAGTTGCCACAGATACCAAGCAAAACAAACCTACCCGCTGAGCTAAGTGCTTAGCAGGCATCCCATTTTCAAGTCAGGTTTTCCATTCAAAGCACTGTAAATAAGGCAGGACAGACTATAGAAGGGTTTCTGGGGTACTGGTGTTTTGAACTGTAAATCACCTCACCCCACTCCCCACCCCATTTGCAATCTGCTTTGACTAGATCATGATTAAAGATTTGTTGAGTTTGCTTTGGATGGGCATTGCAGCGGGGCTCCCTCTTGTGGGGTCAAGGCTCAGGGCAAAAAGAAGGAAGAACTCACAGAATCTGTGATGAGAGCCCGTGCCTCCGCTCCTCCCTTTGGCTCTTTCCTTCCTGCTCTCCACAAGTCTGCCCAAGGATGTATTTTGCAGAAAAGGGTGTGGCTCTAACTAGAATAAAGGGAAGTGAAGGCATCCAAATGGACAATTCAGTTCTTCCCTTCCCATAGCCGTATTTCTACTTTTTGTCTGGGCCAAAGGGGGCTAGCGATGGGGGAGAAAAAGAATGGGATTTAACCTCCCCTCGTGTTCAGTGGGAATAAATCAACCCAGTGGAAACGTTTCTCTTTTCCATTACTAAGAACAGAAGTCAAAATATCAGTTCATTCACACGGTAAGAAATGTTGGATATTTTTCGAAAGAGAAATGACAACAGTAACTGGTAATGCGTATTGAACACGTGATCGTATACCCAAACCCTCAACAAGAGTCATTTACTGTTCTTCACAACCGCGCGAAATGGGAACCGCTGTAATTTTTCCATCTCACAGAGGAAGAACCTGGGGCTAAGAGAGGTTAAGTAACTGTAGCGTGGTCTCTCAGCTGGTCACTGACCAGCGGCGGTTTGAAGCCAAATAGACCGGCTTCAGCATCTGGACAAGGGAGCTGCAGAGTGAAGGTTTCTGGCTTCAGTCCAGCTGAATGACTTTGGAAAAAAAAATATTCTTCTTGCCTTCCATTTTCCTCATCTGTAAAATAAAGGGCCGTGTTAGATGATCTTTGAGTCTGTTTCGAAATCAATACCCGTCACCTCCAAGCCACTGTTGTCATTCATTAGCTCCGTGGATTATAGTAAGCTAAGGGGGGTGTGAGATAGGAAGGGGGCAGGGAGATTGCCACATTATACACCAAACACTTTCCTAACAGAGGTAACTGCTCCAATGGCCACAGTGCCCAGACAGGTAGGAAGGCTGGGTGACTGCGGGCTGAGAGGGGCGCAGGCCACTTTTAGTTACCATTGTGGCTGCCACAATTGATTTTTTTTTTTTTTAGCTGGATGAGTTACTTTCCCCCAGAAGCATCCTTACCACCCTCCTAAGTCTACAGCGCACTCCACATTTGCTGAGTGCTCCAGGCACCTGCACAGATGAGCGATGACAACCGCTCTGTAATGTGACCAGACCTGCTGGGCTTCCAGTCCTGCCTCCCCTGAATTACACTGACTGGTACTTCCAGGAATTTTGCAGCAGCCCTGAAGCCTTTGTTCTTTCTTCAGAGTTAAGGAAGTGGGAGAGAGGGGGCTGGGTGGGAAAGAGACTTCTTTGATTTGTATGAAATGACCTCAGATCAGAAGATGTCAGACTTTCGAAAGACCAGTGGCAAGTGACTCCATATATTGTAGATACTGCCGTGTTAGGAGTTGAAGATATCTGAAGCTCTGTGTGAAAATGGGAACCAACTTTCTGGGAACAATGACTATCACCTTTCCCTGTGGCGTGCAAACGAAAGTGTGTTTCTTTCATTTATGTCATCCACACCGACCCTTTAATGTTACAAGTCACTGCTAGGTTCCTTCTGCCCTCATCCCATGCCCCAAGAGTGTAATTCTTTTTTCTCTCTTCCCATACATAGCCTACACAAACATGTATAGGCTATGTAACACCACTGGAAACGGATTTAACCCAGCTCGCCACAGACTCTTTGGCCGCTGATAATCTTTTACCTACGCCCATTACAAGTGCATTTTTTCTTTATCTGTGTCTGTGTGCCCAGAGGTAGAAATAACACTGAAATGCAAAAGAGGGGCAGAGAAACGGGAAGACGAATAAAGCCGAGGGGCAGAAGTCCTAAATGTTGTGGTTTGCAAGGCGGGCTGGCAGGTTGCGGGGCGAAGCAGAAAAAGTAGAAGCACTTACTCTAAATGGCGAGGAGGAGAGAGCTGCAGAAGAGCCGGGAGATCAGATCCGAGTTGATGGGATGGAAGGGGGGCGGGGTGAGGCGAGGGAAACTCAGCCCCTGTGAAAAGGACCCGTCAGTCCTTTCCAGAACGTAATTTGCTAAGATCCGCCACTTGCATTTCGTATGCATAGGGGGAAGGCTTTCCGGAAGCGGGGCTGGGCGGAGAGGCGCTGCTGGCCGCTCGGGATTCAGCACCCGGGGTCCGAGAAAAGCGGTGCGAGCTAGGGCAGCATCTCTCGTCCGGCCCGCGCCGCAGAGGATGGACGCCACGCCGGAAAGGACAATAAATGAGGATTGAAGGACTCAAGCCCTCTGGAGAAGCTTGCCGAAATTCAGGACTGGGAAGAGAAGCGGTTCAACCTCTTCACACTTGCGGGTTCAGGGACTGGTCATTTCTCAATCCCTGGAGAGAGACTCCTTCCTCAAGGAAGTGAAAATAATGAACTTTTGGAGGTACTGCTTTTTTGCTTTCACTGTGTTCAGTGGGGTTATTTTTGTGATATTTTATAATAGCCCGTTACACCTGCCAAAGAATTTCGGGACGCTGAATAGCTCCAGTCACAGGTATTTTAGAATACATGCCTGTGATTACGCCTTAGAAGATAAGTCCACTTTTTTGTGGGGAAAGACCTTGCCATCACCTTTGGGGAGTGTCCCCTGTAAGGACTACCTGATCCAAAATCACTACATCACCAGCCCCCTGTCGGAAGAAGAAGTTGCTTTTCCTTTGGCTTATGTCATGGTCATCCATAAGGACTTTGATACTTTTGAAAGGCTCTTCAGGGCTATCTATATGCCCCAAAATGTCTACTGCGTTCATGTGGATGAGAAAGCCACAGCTGAGTTTAAGGAATCTGTGTGGCAGTTACTGAGTTGCTTCCCAAATGCTTTTGTTGCTTCCAAGATGGAGCCAGTGGTCTATGGGGGTATCTCCAGGCTCCAGGCTGACCTGAACTGCCTAAAAGACCTCGTGGCGTCCAAGGTGCCGTGGAAGTACGCCATCAACACGTGCGGGCAAGACTTCCCCCTGAAAACCAACAAGGAGATAGTTCGGTATCTGAAAGGCTTTAAAGGGAAAAACATTACCCCGGGGGTGCTGCCCCCGAATCACGCAATTAAGCGGACTAAATTCGTCCACCGGGAGCATATAGGCGAAGATGGCTCCTTTGTGAAAAATACAAATATTTTGAAAACCTCACCTCCACATCAGCTGACCATCTACTTTGGCACTGCCTATGTGGCCCTTACCAGAGAGTTTGTCAACTTTGTCTTCCATGACAAAAGGGCCATTGATCTACTACACTGGTCAAAAGATACTTACAGCCCCGATGAACATTTCTGGGTGACACTTAATAGGATTCCAGGTATGTGCTGATATCCATTCCAATTTTTTCTTATTCATAGATTTAGTTCACTGACATACAACGCTTCTAGAGAACAGACTTGTTTGAAATTATTTGAAAAAAAAAATTTAATGCTTAGAAGACTATTAGTCTGGTTGCTTTTTAGTGACCAGCTTAGTGCCAACTCTCTTGTAACTGTGCGGTATAGTGATATAAGAAGTATGCAAGAGCTGCAGGAGCTCTGGCAAAGCTGTCTTTGATCTTGTATCATGTAGCTCGGTCTTTTGTTTGTGTGTGTTTTTTTTTAATTGAGGTGTGATTGACATATACTAGCTCAGTCTTGTGAATGAATGCTTTTCATGTCCTTGATAAGCATAGCCATAACATGTTGAAATTGATTTTTAATAAGCATTCTAGAATTTATGACTTGAAATAGGTAGTGTTTCTTTCAGAGCATGTCACACAGTACCCCATTCATCCTCCAAGTCATTGCTCAAAGTCGGTGGGGCTGTTTTTAGAATCTGTGAATCTTCCTTGGAAGTTGATAAATTGTCTCTTCAGTTAAATGTCTCTAATCTAAGACCTGATCAAGTTACCCAGGTCTCAACCAACTTGGTTCAACAAAAACAGTCTGATACTTTGTTGTCGAGAAGAATGGGTAAAACGAATTGGAATCCCCAGAGTTGATCAACAGCTGGAGGTGATCCAAAGTAAATTTTCAATTTCGAAGTCACAGATTATTGGAAATTCCACTTTGCGGTCTCTTGATTTCATAGACTGGGAAGTCTTTTCTGTTGTTTATGATCATTTGGAAAGGGGTCCGAGGTATGCCAGGCCAGTGTAGGCAGAAAACAGCTCCAAATTCCCTCTTGGATTCAGGACTGAGTTTCTTTTCAAAATTCTGTTTTCCGTGTGTTGTCTGAGAACACCTGTGTGACCTGTAGCACCTGTTCCTGGTGATGTACCAATAAACGAGTTTCCACTGTTGTGACAGCATGGCTGTGGGTATCAACCCTGTATGAGGGTGGTCCTATCCCTGCTCTTACATGGAGTATTGTTACCAAGGACACATTTGAGTGATGTTTCAAGCTACCTTCATAGATGAAAGTACATTCATAGCAGTGACTCTTTTCTCAATTACTCGGCGTTCCTAAGAGCCAAGTTGGAGTGGTGGTCACAAAGTCTCCTCAGGGCAGAAAGAGGACAGGCAAGGTGACTGGGAACAGAGACATACTCTGTCCTGTGGGCTACTAAATTGTCAGATCACAAAGACTTGTAGGAGCGGGAGTAAACCAACACTTACCAGAGTGTAGTGAGTGTTCGTTCTTCTTGTTTACAAATGACTATTTTAAACACATGTAAATATGCTGTAGGTGGCATCTAATACTATTTTGGTTGATATAGTTTGCTCCTATATGCTATATGTTCTACATCGTTTCTTTCAAGGATAAGAAGTAATCATTGTTATCCTCATGTACAGAGGAAGAAAAGGAGGCTTAGAGAAATTGAAGTAATATGCTCCTCTTTACACAGCTTGTCCAAGCAAAGCTGGGATCTAATCCTGGATTCGTGTGACCTGAAGTTTGAACTTGCACCAGGAAAGGAAGGAATAATCATTTCTTCTTTCCTATATCTAAAGCAAATTCCCGGGGCACCTGGGTGTCTCAGTCGGTGAAGTGTCCTACTCTCGATTTCAGCTCAGGTCATGATCTCAGGATCCTGAGATCGAGTCCTGCATTGGGCTCCAAGCTCAGTGTGGGCTCCAAGCATTGGGCTCCAAGCTCAGTGTGGGCTCCAAGCATTGGGCTCCAAGCTCAGTGTGGGCTCCAAGCTCAGTCTGCTGGTCCCTCTCCGTCCCCCCTGCTTGTTCTCAAGCACTCACGCGCACTCTCTCTCTCTCAAATAATAAATACAATCTTTAAAAAAAAAAAAAAAAAGTAAAGCAAATCCCCTGCAGGATTCCCGAAAGGGGATAGGGTAAGGATGGGGGAGGGGGGGGCAGAACAGTGGAAGTAAGCTCCACCTGACCACTTTAAGCTGGAAATAAGGTTAGCAGGAATATGGAGTGCTAGTGTGTGTGTTGGAACACAGTGAACATGCTGAGGCTTAGCAGGGCAACTGTGCTAGCTGGAGTCATGGGAAGGTGTCCTTGCCAGAACTGATTGCCAACCCCACACAGGCTTCTGTGCCAATTTCCTCAGTCCCCATCTGCAACAGGCTTTGGTCGGCCTCTTCCTCCTGTGAGCCAGTGGAAATGGGAGGTGTTCTTCAGTTAATGTTCTTACAAAAGGCTGGTGGGGGGAAAAGCAACCAGGCTGAGACTCTGAACCTAATCACTGTGAAGTATCTTGAGGACTTTGCCTTTACAATGAGTAGAAGTCTTTTTTTTTTTTTTAAGTAATCTCTACACCCAACTGGAGCTCGAATTTACAACCCCGAGATCAAGAGTCACATGTTCTACCGACAGAGCCAGCCGGGCGCCTCTTGTTCATTTTACGTATACTGTTTTTAAGTTTACCACAAAAATACACAGAAAAAGAAAAATGATCTTTATTTTAGGCACCCTATTGTTCATGAGAAACAAAGGACTACTGGATATGTTATTTATTTACATAGATCATATGCAGATATTTAGGAAGCTCATTTTAATTTAAATGCTTAAGTTTTTCTTATTTGGAAGCATTTTATAATCTGGACTCAAACCATTTGGTGGAACTAAGTCTCCAGGGATCTTCGCTTCCCAGAACGCAACAATGGCAAGTGCACACAACTCTCAGATAGGTTAGTACAATGCTTGTTTCCTTGCTTCAAGCTTTGCAGTGGCTTTTCATTATCTTGAGGATCAGGTTGAAGTTCTTATGGTGACATGACCTCCATGACCTGACTTCTCCTTACCCTTACCCTTCCCTGACCCATCTCTCTACTTCCTTTTTACTCGATGCCTCAGACTTCATGTTCCAGCAACTCCTTAGTCCTACACACTTTCCCAATTTTCACTTAATTTGGGGGGGACGGTCTTTGGGATATCCCTCCTACCATCTCTATCTAACTCCGATTCATCCTTTATAATCCACCTTGGATGGCACCTCTGGAAGCCATCTCCAGTCACCCCCCTCCCAGATCATTGGTACTCCATCTCTGGGTTCTCCTCTACTCAGTGCCACAGCTGCCGGCATTGGATTATAATTTCCTGCTAAGTGCATATCTCCTCTGCCCTACCCCCTCAGTGTTTGGGTTCCTAAGGGTAAGAAATAGGAGGACCATCTTTGTCTTCCCCATCACTACCCCACACTACCACCTACCACCGTGCCTGACTTGAGGATTTGTAGCTTGCTGGATGGCAGTGGGGTAGGTGTGGGGAGGGGCTGGATAGTTACGAGAAGCTTCGAGGGATGTATAAAAGTGTCCTGTCTCTGGGTGGGGTGGGACGAATTTTCAATAGTAAGGATTAGAGAAAGAGGAGGTAAGATACTGCTTGGAGGTGTCATGCCACAATAACGAAGTCCCACAAATGGTATCAGTAAAGAGAAAGAGAAAGATACCAGAAAGATGTTGTAGAATTGGCAAGCCCCAGAGTTCCAGCTGAAATGTTAATAGGGCAAAGTTCCTCCTTAAAAGATTCTGGTTTCCAGGTAGCCACCCTGGGCCCATCATGCATTCGCATCTGATTCCAGGAGAAAGCACTGGCACCCCATGTGGGCGCCTCCAGTTAGTTCCCACCTTACTCGCACCTGATTTGAGTTTCTCCCACAACCTGGCACCCACCCAGCCCTGCCTGTGGTACTTCTTCCTGACCTACTCACCGTTCCTGCAGTGGGCTTCTACTGCCATAATTTGGTCGAGGCTGCCTCTTTGCTACAGGATTAGGAAAAAAAAACAAAACCCCTGAGTATAAGTAAATGAAAGGTTAGGAAAAGACAACAATAGAAAGAAAACTTGAAACATTTCTCCAGGTGTAGCTCCCGGCAAATGTAAACAGTGAGCCATTGAGAAACTCTGTGTTCTCCACGAAAGGTTACCAGGCCCTTAAATCTGGGCGGGGCTGGCTCAGTCCCAGTTTTTTTTCAAAGTATATGTTGTATGCTCTGTACATCAACCTAAATTTAGAAGTCAGTTTCTAGAACCACAAAGGATGCATTCAATCATGCCGACTGTACCAATGGCTGAGAATTAGAAACACCGATGGCCTGGTGGAGTCCTGTCGTCATGAATGTCATTAGAACAGTCAGGTCTACGAGAAAGCTGAGTTTGTGTGTGTGGCCAGATGACAATCCACACTGGATGTGGAGGTAAATTCTGGTTGAAGGAGAAATTATATAAAGCAGAAACTTCCGTGGGTCCTTATCCATTTAACAGTTTTAAAATGATACCACTTTAGGGGCGCCTGGGTGGCTCAGTTGGTTAAGCGTCCGAGTCTTGATTTCAACTCAGGTCATGATTTTGGGGTCATGAGATTGAGCCCCTCATCAGGCTGGGCGTGGAGCATGCTTAAGATTCTCTGTCTCTCTCCCTCTGTGCCCGCCACCATGCATGTTCTCTCTCTCTCTCTCTCTCTCAAAAAAATAAAATAAATAAAATGTTGCCACTTTTGTATAGCCAGATAATACCAAATACACATAATAAATTTGGACATGATTTTTCAAATATTATGTCAGTGATTTGGGCCTTATGCCCTGTTTTTCCTCCATTAGAAAAGGGCTCCAGGCTCTTCTCGGGCCAGTAATTTGGGGAAGATTTATGATTTACAATTTATCCTGACTCTTGAGTACCTAGACTGATAAGTTTATATCATAAAATGGTGAGCTCTGGTAGAGAAACCTTAGGCAAGTTGCCTACTATTTAGATAATTAAGTTCTGCTGAAGCCATAGGCTTCAGTTGAAGAATCATTTATGATGCCTCCAGGCATTGGCTGTGCTGTAATATTTGGATCATCTTTCCTGGAGAATCTATGCCCAAACATTCTTTGCTCCCCACCCCTGTGAAGGAAAAAGTCCGGAAACACTGCTCTTAATTAGCTTTT